GTTACATGAAACAATACTTTCCAAAGTTATGCAGTGAAAATTCAACATGCGATGCTTCTCTACTACCGATGAGTGCCATTCGTCTTGTTCAAAAAGGTCTTCGAACAGACAAGAGTCGACAAATGTACACGATCAATGAAGAATGGCGTTCAAATACTCTTCTCCTTCAATCAATCGAGTTTGTTATATACACAGCGAATCAAAGTATTTGTGAACATCTTCGTTCATCAATCGTTGAGCGATGTTATTTGTCTAATTTCGAAATACACTATTCTCTTCATTCGGAGAAGACAGTCGAACGACAAGTGGAGATTAATACTGAACAAATTACTGGAACATCCATGTATAATCGAATTCTATCACAATTTCCACAGTCCGATACGGTAACACTCACTGGTGGTGATTTCAAACAATTGATTAGCGAAGTTTCTGACAGAATTACTATGAAATTACGTGTTCAAGAAGGCTTCGATAGTCAACTACAAGATCCAATTACTCTTGAGAAAATACTTGAAAGACAACTTCAATTTAAACAGGTTAGTATATGTTGAGACTACGTTCTGAAACGAATGTTCTATCTATATTTAATTCATAGTATTACATTTTGAACTTAGCAAGCTAATCTTTTAATGATAAATTTTCTAGAAACTCAAGCTCATTCAAATCTTTCGAACATAACTAATAAGATAATCAATAAAAAATAATGTAAAACTAAAAAGAATGAGAAAAATTTTGTTTCAAATCAACTACAATGATCTGATTGCTTACAAAAACTGAATAATATTCCAAAAATGTGAGCATTCATATCATTTGCAACAAAGGAATTATTTATCATCAAAAACTAAAGATCGAACACTTAATTCAAGCAATAATCACTTTCTTTTTCATTGTAAAGTCATTAAAATATTAGACATTAATATTTTAAGCGAGAAATATATATTTCTCAAGAAAATATCTGTCGTTAATGTCACTTTCATTTAAGTAAAACATAAATAAATATTCTAGAAGAAATTATTCACTCTAATTGATATTGGCATAAATGATATGTTGGGAAGATTGATTGTTTAAGTTTGATTTCTAAATTAATAAGCAGTTTTTTTTTTGAACAAATTCTTGAGCATATAACTAATAGAATACTGACAAATGTATTTCCAATGTTGTACATTAGGTTCATTTGGAGAAAGCGGAAGATCAATTATGGAACTCACTCTATTGGACACAAGATCTAACTCGACCAGATCGCTTGGCTAAAGCAATCAATACAATTGTTCGTAAGAATTCAACTGATAGTAAACATTTTCTCTACGACAGTCAGGCAGCTAAACATATTCATAAGCTTGGTTTGACTCAACATGATATTGATCGATTTGAACAACTTAACAAATTATTGGCAACCCATGCTTATAGAACATCATCATCTGAATCGGGTACACGTCATTCAGGAGGTGGAGGTAATTTGCACGTTTTTGGAAAATTTAAAATCGGTGGTAGTGGTAGTAGCAATAGTCAATCCCAATCGCACCGATTCGAGGATAATCAAAAAGTAACTGACTCAATGGATGACAAGAAAAATCACAGCAATCATTTGAACGTAACCAATATTGAGTCAAACAATGACACACAATATTTGTTTTCACGTGATCAAGTTGAACAGTACTTAAGTGAATTGTCCGATCATATTCATCTAGAAGGTGAGCTTATTCTTCCAAAACCGATTAATGCTCATCTAATGAAGTTGAGTACACTTCGAGCCGAAACGAAACTTCTCTCACATACTGTTCTCGTTCGTACTCGAAGCAACGTTCACATTTTACCTCTCCGATGTCCATCAAAGGAAACTAGAGCNGTAAATGCTTGTCTGCTGCTGTATAGGTGCATTAGGATTATTGAACTTCTGTTGTGGATCTTCGAATTGATCATCGAAATCCTTGTTTAATTGTTTACGTTTTTTATTGTGTACAACAGTAATAAATTCATCATCATCTTGTTCACGCATACGTCTACAAGGAGACTGTGCAGGAGAATCTAACATTCTAAGATTAGTTGTGGTAGGTGGAGGAACACGATTTTTACGATTTTGTTGTTGATTATTCGGATAGTTGAAGTGCATATTTGATTGTGGATTATAATAATATTCCGGAGAATTATCGACGATATTTGCAGATGAATTTGTGTGATAACGAGTATTTTCATTGGTGTTGATACAATTAGGCAGGTGGTGATAATTTTTCACCATATTTGTGAATAATAATTTCAAAAATTGGTGAAATTATGAATAAATAACCTGACACGGGTTCGACGCGTGATCAGAACGTATATATAATATATATGTATGTAGCTAGTATAGAGAGAGAAAAAAAAACACGTCCGATCACCAGAAAGACGAAGAAGAAAATGAGCAAACCACACATTTTATGCATAGTTTCTCGTATACTGTTAATCATACAGTTTATTCATATGAATCCTTTTACAAGCGAAAAAAAATAGAGTAAAGTTGTGTTTTTATGGTTTCTTGTGTTCGTTCACACTCAAGTCAACGTCTTCGGATGTGCTGGAAGATTTCTCATCCACAGAAGGAGCTTTCTTCATTGAGCCTACGATATTTTTCTCATCAGGCCAGATTTGAACACGATTCACATTATTTTGCAGAACTTCAGGTCTACTGTAATGCCCAGCTGAATCTATCCAAACTTTGACAATACCAAGCTGATTGAGATCGATCTCGCCAATCACAAGTTTCTGTTCCAAACCTTTATGAGGTCCAGCAAGATACATATTGAAAGGATGAATGATACCACTCAATCCTCCTCCGATCTTGATTAACTCTTGTTTGCCCAATTTGGCTTCTATCCAGTCAAGACAGAGCTGATCAATTGTGTTGGACGCGTAAACCACCCAGCATTGACCAGTCAATGCGTGATTTTTCATCATAGCGTCGATCTAAATAAAAATGAAATAAATAGCATGAAACCGAACATATTCATCTTAAACTACCAACTCCGAGAAAAAGAACGATTTGAATTTGCCATTTCATCTCACAAGCATCATCTTGTTTTTTTTTTTGACAAGAGTAAAATATATACATCTGGTATGAATGTCTCAAATTATTATCCTTGATTATTTGTGTCATATCGCTTTTGTTTCTCAAACTGTCCCATAAGTAGTATCATTGCTTGTACTCTTTGCAAATTTGAATAAAAGAAAACGTTCTTGTCGAGTACTACGGAGAACATTCGAAATTTTTTAGGTAGAATCGTAAGTTCACTCATTTTCAGGACGTTTTCTTTGGCTACTCTCACTAGAGAGATTAAGACACTACCTGAATGTCGGCCACATCTTCAAATCCAGCCATAGTGCTCAAGGCAGGCCATGCGCCTGCATGAATCTGTTCGCCTTGTTGGATGAGCGCCTGTCGTGCACCATTCATAGTGTTTTCCCAGCATGCTAATCCACCAAGAATCCCACGTTTCGAAGCATAGCACCGCAAAGTGTAGCCACCTCCATTTGCCCAAATAATTCTTTCAACGTAAGTTGGTTGAAGTTTTCGATGAACTCCCAGTAGTGTTCCATCAGATTCAATGAACACTTGAGAATTGAAACACGTATGAGTGCCTGACATTCGCTCAGAAATGCCCAGTACGATGCACACGCCAAAATCGCGACAGGCTGCTTGAATTTTGCTGATTTCTGGTCCGTCAATTTCCACAGACTGTTCGATATATTCAGCAAGTACAGGTGGTTGTATCAATGTTGGATAACATTCAATGAAATATGGATAACCAGGAATGAATGTCTCCGGGTAGATGAGAAGTTCCACCGATGCCTTTTTTGCTTCTTTTATGTATTCAATTACTTTTTCAGTTGTTGCAACCTTATTCATAAAGATTGGCGAAGCATGAACAGCTGCTGCTTTGAAAACAGAAAACATGGCTGTGAGGACGTTTTTTTTTACGTTTGTTGGTTTGTATATGTGCACTTGTTATGGTTCGTTCTTCTTTTATCTTTATGTTGATTTTTGATGTTCTGTCGGTTTCATTCGTCTCTATTGCCTAATGACGCTACACATGTACCATTAAAAACGACACACTCACATAGGGAATAAGCGTGCCTCTATACCATCTATATATCCTTCGTAAACGATATAAATACTCGTCTTACTCGCGATTATTTTTTTCTTCTATTCTTTAATATTCTTATTTTTTTCGTTCTGTCAATGTGCTTTTTTCGGTTTTTCCTTCGTGCTCTCTTCTACATTTTATTTTACAATCCTGAACATAACTAACAATATCTTAGATATTTTGTCATCTTTCTTTATCAACCCGTTTTTCGAAAGCCCAATGTTGCAGTTATCGCCAGTTCAAAGAACGGTAAGAATTGAATTTGAAATAATTACGATATGGTCTTCGAGTTGAAAGTTTCTGCAAAGCAGTTAAACTGATTCTTCAGTCAGACACATCAAACTTGAGTTGACTTCGATCGATTTATCTGAAAAAATTACCAGAAAGTCTTCATGGATTCATGGTGTGTGCCGAAGTTTGACAAATATAGCTTGAAACAAAGTCGTGATAGAGGTATGACATGAGTTAACCATGACACAGCCTGCTAATTGCTTTAATCTCGATAGCACGTAGACGCAAACTTCTTCAGAACATATATATCCGAAAATCCGTATTTTCTAATTTTCTCTCTTATCAGTCATACTTATGTTCATATTGCTGCAGATGACAATCGATTATGAAGAAAGAGGTATATTTACTATAATGCTTTATGTTTCTTCCGTGTAATGGATGACTGTAATTTTCTACATATGTTCATTGCATTTGCATTATTTGATGAGCAATTACGCGACAGAGAAATAAAGTATGAGTGGCAAGATCTGATCGATGTGCATAACTAAGCAGGAAGATAAAAGAAAAAGGTGCTATCAATCAAACTAAAAGATAGATTAAAGGTCTTAGTATTTCTTCGTGTTAAATTCACTTTTTCTAACTGGAAATAAGACTATAATACATTTGTGACAAAATTTCTGTTAGTTATTAGATGATTTTATGAAACTATGAACTTGATTTTTCAAGCATCTTAAATTTTTTTTCGTCTTAATAATTCGACATTGAATAAGTGATCTATCCGCATAGAAAAACAAAATAATGAAATTGCTCAAGTGTCCAATTTCAAGATGTATGATCATTAAAAACAATATTGAGAATGTTTCTGATTTACATCTAAAAATCTTTCAAAAAACTTTCTTCTTCTACAAAGCATAATTATGTTCGAATATTTCTTATTTCTTTTACACTCCCTCTACAGTAACAATGTAAAAAACGAGTCTATTACACATTGCTGCTTAATAAAATCGTGTTGAAGTAGAGAGATGTTTGGTTGAAAAAGTAGAATTCAGTGATAAAGATTGTCATTGTATCATCTTTTCAATTTATATATCAACAAAACAGAAAGACAAGCGTTAAGACAATTTCAAGAATATGATGTGAATCTCAAAGTCGACAAAACAACAATATCTAATTCTTTCACATCAATAGGTAATTTAAATAATTTAAGAAGCTCAAACAAGAAGAAAGAAAAAAGCATATAATACTTTCCTGAAATAAATGAAAAAGATAACTATATATTAAATGAGGAAAAGCATTACAATCAGCTGTAAAAAAAATCATGAAACAAATACTAATCATAAAATCTATTGAAAAAAAAATAGAATATCACTACCAACGACACAATACATTATTGCTCATCAGTAAAAGAATTTTTAGTTATTTCTAATCATTAACCTACTCTTAATAAAACAAATTGCTTTGTATCACTAAAAGTGTATCTCGAAGGGCTAGAGACCAAAAAAATATAAAGTCAAGATTAAATCAATTAATGATGCACTACCAAGGAGGAGGAACAATCAGTGTTCTAAGCACTTATAACACCGATCCTATATATGGTATAGGTAGCTTTAAGGTTTCTGGTGAGAGAAACTAACAGATATTCATTTTTCTTTCATTCTTTAAATTGTCTTTTGTTTGAATCACGAAACGTGTACCTTGATACTGGCGGATTCTCTGTCGAAACATTGAATATCTTGTAAATTAATATATTATGCAAATAAAAAGATCTTATCAATGAATTAACAAAATAATTATTACACCAAGACTTAAAATGAAATTTAAAGCTACTTTACTAGCATGTGAGAGAAACATTACAGTCAAAAAAAATACGTTAAAGTCGGTCATTTTGACATCACGAGCCATATAGCCATATTAGAAACAAACATGAATAATAATACATAAATGTAGACGAAATAATTTAAAGCACTGTATCTAGCTGCAGTCTTTTTTATTTTTGTCTTTCGCTTTATCTTTGTCAAAATCAGTTTGGTAAAATTTGCATCTGTTGCAAAAGTCACATTTTGGTTTTGCTTCCACTTTTGTTTCGTTACGAGTTACACATGTTGCTGTTTCGATTGGCTCAACATCATTCGGATTTGTTTTGATAGATTCCATGTCTTGAACACGAATATCTTATTTCTCATCAATGTTTTTAACTTTGGTATGTCTTTGAAGACACTTAAAAGCTTAGTCTAAACAACTGCGAACCAAAAATGTTCTACGTCATGCAACTTGATGTGCCGAACATTTATTGTAACCAGAGTTTTGCTCGAAAACCTCAGAGCAAGGGTTAGACGGACATTTCCGTCATGGTCTCTGAGAAACTGGCTTGAGAAAATACATTTTTCGCATCTATTTGACTGTCATTCAATTCAGTGCGTAAAACTACATATGCTCTAAAACTTTTCGTCTCTCGAACACTTCTCACTCAATGCAAAATGTACATTTGCTGCAGCACTTTCAAAAGTGGTAGATATTCTTCATAGTATCCAATAAAAAAATCAAGTTTCAAGGACAAAGACATATTCATCTCTCACCTTAAGTAAATATGCATGTCGAACGATCCTGTAACCTTGAATTTTTTTTCTTGAGCAATTCTTTTTGGAAAAACTGCAGACAACACTTTGAAAATCGGATACTTTTTATTCTGAAAGATCGTGTTTACGATGAAATTTTAATTTTTCGACAAAGGTATATCGAGAGCAACAATGCAAATATTTTTAAATACGGAACACGATCTATGTTATGGATGGATACATGAATAAGTTATAGAGTTACCCACCTGGCTTACGGTATAAAATTCGACACAAAATTTGTGAGAAGAGTTGCAATACTATTGCTCAGTGGAAATAGCTTTATCTCGACTCCTCATCATGTCCGTTTTTTTAAAATGAATTTTTACTAGTGTTTGAATTTTTCAAAGTTCTGAAAACTAGCCTTTTTACCCGCAGTTTCCAGATCCTTAGAAGTGGCATGAGACCTCATTTTTACTTCAATTGTTTTACAAAAGATGTAACTACATAGTTCAGTGGAACTTTCGATTCTGCGATGGTGCTTTCTGTGAAATATAAGGTTGAGAAATATGTTTTACACCCAAATGCCACAAAAACGGAGTTTCTTTCTTCTACAATTTTTCAAAAAAAAACTGGAAACATTGTAGAGAAAACATAATAACGTTACTCTGGAGCAAGCCATTTAGCTTATTTTCATGCGGCAGAATGTTCAGTCCTTTTCTTTTTCTTCTTTTTTTTTATTAAGACGTTTTCTCATGCACACATCATAAATACTGGTCGTTAAGGTTCTATATCTAGGTACAAAGATCTATGTGGGTCTATAAATGTCTTTCTTGTATAAATTAGAAAAGGAAAGAAAACTTCCGAAACTACGAAGTTTTGCCTCTGGTTGTTTTATAAGTCAAATGAGAAAGATTCAAGTAGTTCAAAGGACCTTCTATTGTCGATAAAACTGTGTTTAATGTCACAACGTTTTAACTCTAATATATTGATTTCATTCATTCATGGTAGAGTACCACTCAATGGTGACCCGACTTAAGGATCAAAACTTTACATACTAATTGTCATGCATCAATATTATTGAAAGGATCATATTATTGAAAAAGAATAAAATAATGATTTTTGCACGTTAATATTCATGTATCGTAAAATAAATCAAGTATCTAGAATCCATTAGAAAGACGCAGTTAGGATACAATTTCTAATTTTTTCATTTTTGAATAATTGACCATTATATCTTCTCTTACAATTTCAATGATTTACTCTTCGATAAGAAACTTTATTTGATGATTGGCTCTATTATATTAGAAAATATCAAACGGAATAGAATTCATGGAATTGTCTCCTACCGTTTTACTCTTAGTAATACAGATAAGTTGCGACTCGATTTGAAAAGTGAGCGACACAAATATATGATTTCTTTTGCATTTGCATTTTTCTGATCATATATATCAGATGATTTTCATACTTGTTAAATATTGTGTCAAATTTTGATTTTTTGTGTTTTTCAAACTAATTTTGTGCATATTTGCACAATAGTGATATATATTGAAATGATTACTCGAGCATATAGCGACTTAAAAATTTTTGTGGGTTTATTCCAACTTACTTTCGGTATCACTATTTTCATCAAAAAAGTGCACCTGGTATCGATAACGCACAATATCAATATGATATTTTTTTGTAGTTTCTAACGTATGTTGGACAAAATCAAACCGCGAAATAACATTGTTAGTTCTTTCCATATTACTTCCATGGCAGTAAAACATGATTTTATTCGAGAGAATCAAATTTGTATCTTCCGTTTTTTGTGTTAGGTTTTTCGTAGAAAATACCAAAATTTCGTTAAATAGCGAGGTATATAAGCACTTGTTGCATATCTAAATAACCGAAAGCACAAGGTCTGCTGGACGTCTTCTTTATTATTCCTAACAGGTAAAGAAATATTATTGCCGACTAGAAACCGAGGAAAATATTCT